TGATGCTGCTTGGCCTGCTGTGTTCATCCAGCTCTACACCTTGTTATCTCAGATTCTCCAGCATCTGCAGTTCCTACTATCTCGATTACACACTACCTATTGCTAGTTACTCACAGCCGCCATTAACAACTATTCACCCTCCTAGACAGGTCGTTATCAATTCCTTTGTCTATCCAACTGCTCTTCTCTCTCTTCAGGCTCTATCCTGTCGTTTACGCCCTACCCCAGCCCCCTCCCTATTTTCTGCATATAAACCTACTTTTTCCCAGCTACCATCTATTCTGAGGAAAGGTCACCGCACCTGAAACATTAACTCTTTTTGATTTATTTTTTTCTTCACAGATGCTGCCAAACCTGCTGAGCTTTTCCAGCAACTTCTGTTTTTGTTCATGATGTAAATAGATCTTTCTAATGAATCATTACATACTTGGAATAGCTAAGGACATCCTTGATTTAAGCTTTATTCTTTACAGAAGGCTCAATCAGTGATGAAGGTAGAATCTCAAATGATCTCTGAGAGTTGAATTAGTGAGGAGAAGTCAAGTTTTTATACAGCTAACTGCAGAAAGTATGCAGCAGGTAGTCATGGACATCAAGTGATCACAAATTTGGACATGAGCTTAGCTGTGATGCTTCTAATGGAGTCTGTTATTCAATATTGAAATTCATTAATAATTAATTCTAACTTGAACAAAGTCAGAGGATACTTAGAACTGTTTCTGAACAATAAACTCTTATGATTTGTTATCCATGCAGTTGTAGAATATGAATTGCCCTAACATGTTATGTTGCTTTTTAGAATGGAAGCCTGTACGCAAAGGGAAATTGCAGCACTGAAGCTTTTAGGGGCCCATCCTAACATTGTTGAACTATGTGAAGTTTACCATGATCAGGTACAATAAAAAGATAAGATACAAAAATAAATCTGAAACTTCAGTAGTGTGAAGAATAATGATTCACTAACTTTTTAACTGTTACAAACTTAATCTGATTTTTAGTGCGCATCTTTTTTGAGTTTTGCATTTCAAACAATTCTTTCTCTTAATATTCTTTTTCAAATCTCTGGTCTGCCAAACGCACAAGCCAGGAAATAGTTAGCTTTAATATTATCAAAGATAATATTATAAAGTTATGCATCCACACAGCTCTGTTTACGAATAAGAATTTTTGATCAGTTTTAAATTGTTGAAAGCTAATGTTTGAATTGCACTGTTTATGGTTGGAAATTTGAAATTATTTGTATAGGAGTGTCTGCTAAACAAGCCACAAATCCCTGAAGCTGTGCTTCTTAAAATTAGGCAAAATCACAGAATTGTTGCCAAATATAGTGTTAGCTTGTACATCAGTAACACTAAAAATTGACTAACTGTTATGTCAGCTCTGATTTGGAATCATTACATATTTCACTATGTATAATGGTATGCAATTGATCCCATTTGTTTGAATGTTCAATGTTTCCCTGTATGTAATAGTTCAGCTCCTTTATTAAATTACTGTGTCTGTAAATTCTCTGTTTAAACTCTTTTACCTAATTAATAAAATCAGTAATTTATTTTTAAATGGGTAAGATTTTCCACATGGAATTCGGGATCCTGTCATCAAGGTTAAAAGCTGGAACAGTCATCTGGCAGTGATTTTCTCTGAATTGCTCACCAGGTGCTGAGCTTGTCATCCTTAACCAGTGGGAGGACTGTCAAAGTTGGAGGGCCAATAAGAAACCTTCCAGTGCTAAAGAAACAGGATCTTGCACTCCTATGCAAGTGAGACTGTGGGCACCTAAAGATGTAGCTGCCCTCTCTGCAATTTTGTTAATTTTAAGATTAGAAACCTGTCTTCAGCAGCCATGCCACCCCCATAGGATGACCTCTTGCTGAAACCAGGAAGTTGGGAAGACCCTCTAATCCTGACTGGAAAGCTAGCCCTCCTACTTTGCTACTAGGAAGTCATATTTGCGCAGTTTTTCCATGATACCTCTGGGGACCTTTTTAATAGTCCATTAGCAAGCTGAATTGACTATCCACCACATGCAACCTAGTGCACCTCCCCCCACCCTACTAAACTCCATCCCCCATCCAACTTCCCTGAAAATGGCCTGGGAGTAGAATTGGTATACTGCTGAAGCGAATTTACAAGCTTACCACCCTTTGATATATGTCACGAAAAACTGCTTTTCCACTTAAACAATAATTCCATTTTGCTCTTCTCCCAGTTACATACATACATGGTTATGGAGTTGTTAAAAGGAGGTGAACTACTGGAACGTATTAAAAAGAGGAAGCATTTCAGTGAATCTGAAACCAGAAGAATTATGAGCATGCTCGTTTCTGCAGTTCGTTATATGCATGATTGTGGAATTGTGCACAGAGATTTAAAACCAGAGGTATATTAATGAACGTAATGTTTCAAATTTTAGTAATTTTGGAAACTAGTACCTATCTATTGGAGAACTTTTACCATCCAGTAAAGTTTTTTTACACCAAAAATGTATGACCTTAGTAAAACTTCGTAACTATAAAACACTTTGACTTGAAACTTACAGGAAGCATAGTAGAATTTTTTTTTAATCCATGCCCCGTGTTCCACTGTGACTGCCTCAATATAATTTTAATACCCTTGACATCCACAATCTACATCGCTTCTGAGGTATGTGGCCTGAAGTGTTCAGCAGTTTTCTGCCTGTCAGTATATAATGGCTGAAAGGCCTTAGACAGTACCTTTTGCCCTCTCATGTCTCCATGGTGGCTGCCGCAAGATTTAGAGCATCCCCTAGCATGTAGTCTTGGACCTTGGAATGTGCCAGGCTATAACATTCATTTGAGGACAACGCTTTGCATTTAAAAACCAGCACGTTAGACGGATCAAAGAGCATCTTTCATAGAGTTGATGGTCCTCCAGCTGTAGAGATGTTTATCTCACTCTATGTTCCTGGAAACAGCTAATAGAACACGGAGTCCTGCTTGGGATGAACCTGGACAAAAATCATGGTGCAAAAATAAAGTTGCTGGAAAAGCTCAGCAGGTCTGGCAGCATCTGTGAAGGAGAAAACAGAGTGAACGTTTTGGGTCCGGTGACCCTTCCTCTGAGCTTTTCCAGCAACTTTGTTTTTGTTCCTGATTTACAGCATCCACAGTACTTTTAGTTTTTAAAAATCACGGTGGCTCTTTCTAGGTTCATGACTGTAGATAAAGTTTATTTTTCACAGGATGTACAGTTTCTTGAACACCTCAAGTAGAACTGCTCTTTTAGTTCAGCATAGATCACAAAGTTTTGCCCATGAGGATAAGATAAGAAGGCCACATATTTGTTGGGAAGTTAGGGTCTAAATGGGAACAAAGATATCTAAGGACACAACTTCAGAAAACATTAAAATTAACAATTTGGCAAGTCATAAAAAATTGTCTATTTCTGAATCGGAATGCAAAAGCAAATTAATTGTGTTATATTTGCATAGAGCTTTGATACATAGAATACTGAACTGTTCTGGTCTTCAGTTAATAAGAAGACATATTATGGCACTTCAGAACGTACTGTAATGGGTTTACGAGGTTGATACTAGAATTAAGAGGTCATACCTAATATGAATAAAGATGAAACTATTTGATGACCTTTTCTCTCAAAGAGAAAGTTGAGAAGTGACCTTATAGAGGCCTTTAAAATGATCAGGGGCTTTTTCATATTGTACATATTGTGAGAATGTTTCTGCTTGTAAGGAAATTCAAAACCAAGGGATCATAAATTTAAAATAGTCACTGATTAAATCCAGTAAGGAATTCATCTGAAATTTTATTGCCCAGAGATTGGTTAGAATGCAGAATGTTGCCACTTGAATAGTTCAGGTAAAAAAAAAAGTAGGGAACATTTTGAAGGGAATCTAAATACTTACATGAAAAATAAAGCAATAAAAAAGTCATGCTGATATGAGTTAAAGTGGAAAGGAGGTTCGTGTGAAGCATAAATATTGGGCAGATCAGTTGGGATGGATGTCTGCTGTTATTCTCCTACAATCACTTACTGCACATGTAATGTAATAAATTGTCTCATAGCATTTCACAGGGGCATTCTAAAGCAAAAAATGGCACTGAACCACATGAAGTATTTGGGCATATAACCAACGGCGTGGTCAAAAAGGTAGATTTTATGGAGGAAAGCAAGGAAGAGAGTGTGAGTGGTGTAATCACCAAAATTGTGATTAAGATTGGGGTCACAGAAGAAGCCAGAAATAAAAGAGTGCAAGTTTCTTGGAGAGTTGTAGTGTTCAAGGAGACCAGCCATGGAGAGATTTTGTTTTTCATTCATTCATGGGATGTGGGTGTTTCTGGCTAAGCCAGCATTTATTGCCAATGTCTAATTACCCAGTTGGCAGTTATGAGTCAACCTCATTTGCTGTGGGTCTGAAATCACATGCAGGCCAGACCAGGCAAGGACAGCAGTTTCCTTTAAAAAAGGATTTTAGAAAATGAGGATGAGAATTTGAAAATCAAGTCGGGGCAGTGTCAGGGTGAGAATACAAAATGGTATGTGAAAAGAACTTGACGCAAGTTAAGATATTACAGCAGACTTTTAGAAGAACTCAAATTTTCATAAGGTAGAATATGAGAGACCAGAATCCATTCAATGATAAATCTAAAGGTGACAAAGTCATGAATGAGCTGGGTTAAACTAGCCAATATTTGGAGATGGGAATGGCAATGTAGTCCAAAGCTCATACCAGGTCAAACATTACACCAAAGCTGCCGATAAATCTGTTTAGTCTCTGACTGTTGTCAGACAGGGAATGGATTCAATATTAGGAAATGAAATTTGGAGCAATTGCTGAAGACAATGGCTTCAGTTTTCCCAATGCTTAATTAGAGGAAATTACTACTCATCCAGTATCAGATGTTGATGAGTTATTTGATAACATTGCAATACCAGAGGAGTTGGGAGAGGTGGTGGTGAAGTAGAACTGCGTGTCTTCAGCATATTAGTGAAAATTAACATCCTGTTTATGGATAATGTTGCTTGACAGAAGCATGTAGATTAGAAATAGGAGGAAGCACATACAGTAATTAATCATGAGGGAGCCAGAAAAGAAACCACACGGAGTGGATCTATGAAAACAGTTTGAGAGGCAAAAATTAAACCACGAGAACATCCTATCCAGCTGGGAGGTCAATGGAGGAGGATGGTATGGTCAATCATATCAAAGACTATGACAGATCTGGGAGGGAAAGTTTATCTTTCTCCCAATCACAAAGGGTACCATCTGAGAAATTGATAGCTGGTTCACTCCTGTCAGGTAGGAAACCTCATTGGAGTGGTTCAAACATGAAGTTCCAGGAAAGTAGATGGACATGGATTTGGGAATGACCCCAAATTCAGAGACCTAAGAGAGTAAAGGGAGCTTGGAATTTAGGGCAGGATTTACAGGGATGATGGTGTCTGGGATTTTTTTTAAAAGGAGTGTTGAAATCAGACTTCAAGCAGAGAAGGACAACAATTCAAGAGAAAACCATATTAATAATATCAGCTAACGAGACCCGGAGTGGGCAGTTGGATCGTTAGTAATTTAGTGGACGTAGGGTTGAGGGAGCAAGCATTAGATCTTGTGTAGTTTCGAGAGGTCATGAGGGATATTATGAGGGAGACTAGCGAAAGATATGAGTTCAAGACTACGGGTAGGAGGGAATTGTGGAAAACCATTGGCCAACGGGGATGATGGAATTCTTAGTGAGAAGAAAGCTATTCAGTCCATCAGTATTTGAAAGAACTATCTAATTAGTCCCATTGCCTTTCTCTTTTCTCATAGCCTTGCATTTTGCTTTCTAGTATATAACCATTTTTCTTTTGAAGTTACTATTGACTCTGTTTTTCATTGCTGTCCTAGGCAATGCATTCCAAATCATAACTTGTTGCATAAAAGTAATTTCCTCTCCCATCTGGCTCTTTCACAATCAATTGAAATTTATGTCCTCTGGATTTTGACCACACTGATAGTGAAACTATTCTCTTCGATGGAAAACCAACACATCGCCAAACTGTATTGTTCTCACCAATGCTTCAGATTTACTTTTAATAACTTCTTTTGATCCTGTCTCTAAAAGTCAACACTAATAGTTTTTTAAAAATGACTAAAGTCATGGAATAGTTGAGAAAGCTCAAAGTGTTAGATGCATCTCGTTTATCCTTCCAGAAGGATCTGAAACGAACATTATTTTAACATCCCATTGGTTCTTAAATAATTACAGGGCAAAACTTCCTGATACCAGTCTTAGGATGTCTCAATGTATGACCTGTATTCTTCTCGCAGTTAAATTTAAAGTAATTTTACAGATTTACCTTTTCAATCGCTTCAATATCTAGTACACCTCCTTAAGATCACCTCTAGGCCAGTTCTTTGCCTTGCCTGCTGTAAATTTGGTTGTACAGGCAAAGAAGTTAATGAAAATGGTCTTAGAGATCTGTTATTCTCAGATGGACAAACGGCAAAATAATTGTATTACTTTTTTTATAATTGAGTGGTGTTAATTGTAGCAGTGATAAAATATCTTGGTCTGTCAATGTGATCTTCTACATCATCCATTGTTCCACTTTATAGAGGTTCTACTTTTGCCCTGTTGTCAGAACTTAGGACAAGTGGAGGCTAGGTGTTGTGCAGTAAACAAAATATATTACTAGGATGTTTGTGTTTTGATGTACCTTTTAAAGATAGCTATGAAATACACCTGTAATGACACTGCACTTGCTAGCGGTTGTCATAATGTGCATCTCAATACTATCATTTGGTAGCATGCTAATGCATTTGAAAATGTGCTGTGTTTTGGTTGTTAGATTACTAGACTATCAAGTAACATAATTAGTGTGCAGTTGCATGACAAGAGTTAGTTTGTGGACTCATAATGCTAAACACTGACCCAGATTGTCGTCTTGGAGAAATGCAGTTGAACATTTGTTGAGCTAAGAGTTGAAGTACTTTTACTAAAATTTAACAAAGTTTCACATTTATAATTCAGGAGGATTTATCAATTTTTAAATTTTATCGTACATTCCAGCCAATGTTTTGAAAATTGATTCAAAATTTTAGAGCTTTGGGTTAAATGTTAGGTTTTGACAAAGAAAATGCATACTCTGTGTATGACTTATTTTGATTGTATTTTGAATGTGCCATAAGAAAACAAAAATTCAATGCTGACACTACTAAACAAGTATACATAAACCTATGCCAGAAATGCTCCAAAATTTAGTAAATAAATCTTAACACTTCACAATTTTATCTTTATAACTTGTGGACAAATGTTTTTAAAAGATTAATGAATGCAAGAAATTACACTTAACTGTTGTTTCTTTTTATAAACAGAATATTTTGTTTACTGATCAGAATGATGGCGCACTGATCAAGATAGTAGATTTTGGGTTTGCAAGAGTTAAACCTTCTGACAGCCAGCCATTGAAAACTCCGTGTTTCACTTTCCAATATGCAGCTCCTGAAATTTTCAAGCAAAATGGTTATAATGAGTCTTGTGATCTGTGGAGTCTTGGAGTAATATTAGTAAGTATATAAAATATATTTGAGTTGTGTATCACTCAAACGTTTGTAAAGGAAGAATTGACGTTGTCACGTTTTCAGTAGTTGTCCTTGCATGTGTGGGATTTAGGTCTCAAAAATCTGAGAATCACAGAATCCCTACAGTGTGGAAACAGGCTAATCGGCCCAACTAGTCCACACCACCCCTCCAAAGAGCATTCCACCTAGACTCACCACCCTACCCTTTCCCTGTAACCCATTTCCCATGGCTAATCCACCTAATTCAAACACCTCTGGACACTACAGGCAATTTAGCATGGCCAGTCCAGCTAACCTGCACATCCCTGGACTGTGGAAGGAAACCGGAGTACCCAGAGGAAATCCATGCAGACACGGGGAGAATGTGCAAACTCCACACAGACAGTCGCCCGAGGGTGGAATCAAAACCGAGTCCCTGGCACTGTGAGGCAGCAGTGCTAACCACTGAGCTTCTGTGCCGCCAAACTGAGCAAAACTGAAATTCCAAATCTTGGAATACTTTTGGGAATTCTATACACAACATCTTATATGTAATAGCACATGAGAAATTAACCATAGTTGTAGTCCAGTTTGGAGAAGCTATGAAGAATAGCCAGTTTACAAACTTCAGCCTAATCTTATTTCTGTGAATGAGTATGGGAAACGTTTTTAATTTCCCAACACTAAGATCTTCAGTTACTAGAAAGGTTACATTGAAGAAAATTTGCTAATTTATTTAGTGGGTTGACACCCTATAAAAGACTTGTGCAACATACTTTACCAAATGTATGATTAGAAAGGTTCAATGAAATAATTTTAAAAATGCAAGTTATGTCTGTAATTCCACTTATTTTATCCTGTACATGGGTAAATGCATCAACTCTCTGTTCCCAGTGTTAAATCTCTGACATAGTTTTGAATATGCGTTTTTTTTTCCAAAACTGATTCATGCATTTTTGCACTTCATCACTGATTCAAACTTTCTTTTTGAGTGTAATTTTCTCCCAGGAGCAACAGATCAATTAATGTATTCTAATGTATTTGCTACAGTACAATCTTGCAGCTACAGCCAATGTGGAGCATTGCAGCGGAAGTACTAACATAGAAATATAGAAAATAGGAGTAGGCATTTGGATATTTTGAGTCTGCTGTGCCATCAATATGATCATGGCTGATCATCCTACTCTGTATCCTGTTCCTGCTTTCACCCCATACCCTTTAATCCATTTTAACCCTAAAGGCTATATCTAACTCCTTCTTGAAAACTTTTAATGGTTTGATCTCAACCATTTTCTGTGGCAGAGAATTCCGCAGACCCACCACCTCTTTCTTAATCTTTCACCATTAAGATAATTTCCCTCCTGTTTTTGCTCCAAATTGAATGATCACACGTTTATTGGAGTAGGGTGATGCAGGACCTAATCCAGATTATGAAATCTCAATATACAAATGTTACCCTGATTCATTCCTTTTAATTTCTTGCAGAAGTTATTGTTAATTAATTGACTGTTCTCGCCTTTTGTTTTGGAAAACCTCCTTGAAATATGGATGTAAATGACAAGGTCAGGATTTGTTACCCGGCCTCTAGTTGTCCTAAGAAGGTGGTGGACCTTTGTCTTGGACTATTGCAATCAATTCTTTGTTGTGGTGGTTGTGTTGTGCTTTAGTACAATTGAATGGGTTGTCAAGCCACAAGAGAATGCAGTTAAAGGGCAACCTTATTGGTATAGGACATGAGACGCACACCGACAGAAATTAATGTTTTCTTCTCTACCGATAGGTTTTTAGCACAATCCAGTCATTTCATGGTCACTTTAACTGATGACAGATTATCGTTTTCAGATTTTTTAAAAATGAAATAAAATTCTCAAACTACTATGATGGAATTTGAACTCATATTTTGTCTTCATTATTCCTCCATGCCTCTGAACATGCTCCTACTTAATGTATCTAAATTTATACAGTGCCGAAGTAGTCTGAATTACAAGTTTGCTGAAAAATCATTACTAGTGGTAATGATTGGTTATTAATAAATTTACATGAAAAATAAATGAGGAAACTACCCCAGTTCCTTCCTTTGTCTATTCCAATCCAGTTTCACATTCTCGGAAATGTAGTCCCTAACAACATAAAGTGCTTTACTGTTAGAGATTAGTCCAGCAATAGTTCAGATGGTTTCAGTTTTGATCAGATTGACAGCATTGGCTATATGCCATTCCTTGGCCATCCAATTGTCACAGCCAAGAATTTCAAGGGGAGAAAGGAAAAGAAGTGGCAGATTTAATGTTCTGTTATAGGATACGGTAGCCTCACCAAACATTGCCAAAACCTTTTCCTGATGCTGGCTAACAAATGTATTTTTTTAATGGAGCAACAATCATCTTATCAGAAAGGTCATTTGTGAGATTGATGCTTCCCCCTAATTACCCAAATATTTACTACATGTTCCATTGCTCAGAAAGTAGCCAATTATAAAGCTTATGTATTTTGTTGTATTCTAGTATACAATGTTGTCAGGACTGATTCCTTTCCAAAGTATGCAGAGAACTGTGATATCAAACACTGATGAACAAATAAGAGCAATAAAGGAGGCAAACTTTTCACTTGCTGGAGAAGTCTGGAACAATGTTTCACAAGAAGCTAAAGAGCTGGTGCAAGGTAATGTACTTTTTAACGTTTACCAAATAAATTGCAGACAATTTGCTCAGGTAGTGTTGCAACAAAACACATTTATGTAAACTTGTATGATGTAGCTTATTTATTATTTACAAATATGTGTAGATACATATAGATAATGCACATACATACATAAAAATAGACCAGGAAATAGTTTTTTACCTGTATCTATTTGGAATCTTTGATATAATTTTAGAATGACACTACATATAATTCCATCACTTCTATAGGTTTACTTACTGTGGATCCAAACTCTCGTCTGAAGTTATCTAGCTCAAGATTCAACAACTGGCTTCAAAATAGCCATTGTTTGTCCTCTAATCCATTGGTGTCTCCAAATATTCTTGATTCTTCCACTAACAGTTACTTCAAATCTTCTTTTATGGTAAGATCTTAAATCTTAAATCAGAAATTAAACTGGAATGATAATATTACAGTAATATCTCAGCATTAGTTTGTCAATATACTCCAAAGCAGTAACAAAAACTGAAACTGCTGGAAAAGCTCAGCAGGTCTGGCAACATTTATGGAGAGTAGAGTAATCAGAATTAACATTTCAGGTGCAGTGACCCTTCCTCAGAACCGCTGAGGAAGGGTCATTGGACCGGCAACATTAACATCTATCCACAGATGATGCCAAGACCTGCTGAGCTTTTCCAGCAATTTCTGTTTTTGTTTCTGATTTTCAGCATCTGCAGTTCTTTCCGTTTTTACTCCAGAGCAATGTTCTTCCTTTAAAAAAACACTTTTGAAGGTTTTCAAATATCATGCACTGGTCATGAAGTAACCACAAATACCACATTTACAAAGCTACTCAAATGTTAGGATTAGCTTGAAACATTATGTCCCCTTCCCACAATAAAAGTTCTAGCTTATGTACATATTTCAAATGGGACCATGTTCCTACAAGTTGCTGAAGCCATCCAGTAGCTGGTAACCAGGATAGTTGTTGGCACCCTGGGTTAAAGTCTAGAAGATGGAACTGCTAGAAATTTGTGTGTGTTAGCAGTGCTGAAGGAGTCAGTTGGATTTGGCTGTTGATAAATTAGGTTGTTCATGAATAATAGCTGCATGAATGAAGTTGTAGAACATGCCTTCTGCCTTTTGAACTGTAACCCATCACAAAGTTGAAAACCTTCAGAGGAGAAGGTAAGAAAATTGGCAAGCAAAAAATAATTCTTTATGGCATTTTACATACTTTGTTTCTGGTGTTTCTTGGGGCACACTACATTTGTTTTAAAGCTGGAAGGAGCTTTGGAAAAATTGTCATTGGGAAAGAATGTGTGATATCACCTTGTCAGCATTGAAAATTTTATCAAAATTCGGCAACATGACATTTTCTGCATTGTGAACTGTTTGTGGACAGTTAAATTAATCCCATTATCCTACAATTCTCCAATGTATTTAACTAGGAAATCTTTCAAGATTACTTTTATATAATGTTACATTTGTTGCAACAATACCACATTCTTTGTGTTATTTTCTACTTTAGGCTGTTAATAAATGCAAGAGAGAAGGATTTTTCCTCCAAAGTGTTGAAAACGCTCCTTTGGCAAAGAGGCGAAAGATGAAGAAAAGTAGCACAAGTACAGAGACTCGGAGCAGTTCTAGTGAAAGCTCGTCTTCTCAGTCTCATGGTAGAACATCTCCAATGTGCATCATCCAAGTTCCTTTACCAGCAAAAAAGTCTGTTTGTGTCTTCCAATTTTCTGAAACTTTAAGCAACAGTTTCAATGATACTTCAGTCTAGCTATTATAAAAATAATCTTCAATATTTATTTACCTTTCAAGATTGATTGGCAGCTGTACTTTTGGTCATCCAGATGTCAAATTGTGGAATCCTTCCCTAAAACCCTCTGATACTCCAACCTTTCCTCCTGTCTGCCCCCTCTCCCATCCACTCAATCCCTCTTATTCACCATTAGGGGCCTCTCAGTTCTGTTGAATGGTGGAGCAAGCTCAAGGAAGTGAATGGTTTACTGGTAAATCTGGTAAAAAGGGCTCAAAAAGTAAAATTGTTGTGAAAATGTGGATATTTTTCTTGTACATTAAACAGAAAAGTATTCTTGTACATTAACCAAACAATGAAGCTTGTTGTCGGATGCAAAGAGAACCAGCTTTAGAAAGCAAATTTGAATAACTGAGTGGCTTAGAGTTGAAAAATTAACAACATAATGGTGAAGTAGTGATGATTTTGCAGGTGTGTTTCTGTTGTGAAGGTGAATCGTCTCACGTTTAGCTTGTGTGTAGTTATGATTCTTGTTTTGCTTCGGTGCACTGTCTATTTACTGTTCAACGTTAACAGGGAATTTTGATGTTTAATTTCTAGGAAAGACAAGCTAAAATTTGGAAAATAAATGTTTTACTAACAACTTGGGTGGCATAGTCATATCATAACGTTAAGTTCTCCTTTGTGAGAAGGAGTAAGCAATCAGAGGGCTAACCACAGAGGTGATTAGGTGATTAGAGGATTAGGCTGAGTAGATGGGCAACAGTTGTAAAATTGTTGGGGGATAGGGAGAGTTATTGTGAACTGTGAGAGTGTCTTAAGTGTGCTTGATGTGTACTTTGCATTTTTTTAAAAAATAATGTCAATATGGTGCTTCAAAAGAAATTACTTTAGAGTCTCAAATCAGTGAAAATATCACAGCGCAATCATGAAAAATTAAACAGCCTGACTCCTGCCAAATTGCGACTTTGTAGGACTGTGATAATGCTGTAAATGGGGCTTCCAGAAGGAAGGAAAAAGCAGTAATCCTAAAGACAGCAGTGGTGGCACAGAGATATTGTCTTTCGCAAACAGATTTCTTGGAACAGGCATGCATTCAGCGGCAGTTTAATTTCTTATGTTTTGGTTTGTGCCGTTCTTTGGAATGATGTTACTGTAAAGATAGGTGGGTGTCGTTGGGTGGGAAGCAGTGAGTTAGCTCAGGCCTGGAATCATTGAGGGCCAACGGTGAGTAATGCAGTTAGGACTGGAAGAATTTTGTGTGTTAATATTCTTGAGTTTGAGAAACAGTGCATGAGGTACGATCATGGGCTGAGAGGAAGTTGAATGTACTTTTATAGTAGTATTCGATGAAAATATAATTGGCTTCAGAATGGTCTGTAGGTTGATGTGGACCTTTTTTAAAAGCAAGTATGAGTGAGTTTCTTCTGGTGTTCTTTGGGAATTTGGGAATCACAGCCATCATAGGCTTTACAAATGCACAAAGCTGAAGAAAGATAGCCCATAGAAAGTAGTTGCTGTGAAGAGGTTGCAGAAATGAAGGCAGCTGAAAATAGACCTCATGGAGTGGGAGAACTTCATTGTTTGATTTTGATTGTTTTGATATTTCAGTAATAGGAGGTCTTGTTGCACTATATTTATGTCTGTACATCTAGGGCAAAAGCTCAAGTTAGAGTCCCATGCCAGGACCTTTTTGGCAATGGAAAGTATGCTTGTAACATGGTCGAACAGATTGATTATCAGCCTGTAAATCCTTCTGTATGTCTGATGGCAGGTGGTAAGAGTGTGAGAAACTCCTGGTCAGCCATCATGCAGAAGGCAATGGGAAACCACAGCAGCCCTTTGCCCATAGGAGTGGACCAATCAAATGGAAGTCCTTGACCCAACACATTGAATTAGACTGGGAGAAAAAAAAGAGAAATTACTAAATCTCCAGTCATAAATTTTATTATTCAGGTTTATTCAGTTGGTGGCTCAGGCAGCACTGTAGCTGTAAAATTAATAAGTAATTGTTTCAGTAATTTTATTTTTTTGTGTAGTACTTCATTTATGAACACTTCGTTTAAAAATCTGAAGGAACTAAATGCTCTTTTTTTCATGTTTACTCTATCGTACTGGTACTTTGTACTACTTTGATTTCAATCATATTTACTTGATTGGTAACTCAAAACAGATGCTTTTGTAATTAGCTGAAATAATAACAGATGCATGATCCTATGACATCGACTACCTCTAAAGCCACACTTTCATATGAGATACCTTTGAAAGGGTTAATGTTATGAACATGTGCTAGATGCAAGGAATTAGTTATATAGATGGAGAAACCTATTTAAGTAAATTGGGCAATTATTCTTGGTATAAGCTATTAAATAAAGCAATAATGTATATTTATTTTTGTTTGTAAATAGGCATTAATAATTACCATACTTCAAATATATTTTAAAACTCCACTGTGTAATAAATACTTATTTCGAAATAAATTTCATTTCATATCAAGAAAGGGAAATCTGCTTCCACTACTCTGATCATGTATCAGTTATGTGAGAAAAGGCAAGCTTTCAATAATAGTTCTGAAGTTTTGTCTGTAATCTGTTAAAAGTATTTATTTGAATCGTAACTACTGTTGTAGGCTCAATTTGAATTATTTTAATGAGTAAGATATTCTAGCTGGTCTAGGAAAAATAGTCATAACTGATGCAAGCTATTTTCTATTCTGTGTGACTGCGATTATAAATTATTACTAATCAAATGTCTGCTTTGAGTAAAGAAATGAGATGCCATCTTCTTGATGTGTACTTTTTTTAAATGCAATATTTTGATTTTTACATGGTTTGCCTTTTTGTGCAGTTTAATTTTAAATGAATTTATTTGTGTTCCGTTAGAGTAATGGGTACAGGAAACAGAAACACTTCAAGCAACAACATTCTTTACAGTGTGAAAAAGTGCTTGTGTTTTCCAATAAACTAGTTCAAGATCATTTATGTTTGTTTATGCTTTAATAGTAGCATCTTTAGAATCTTATTATTACTTAATTTTTGCACCAATATTCATACAATTTTCTGCAATTATTTCTGAATCCTAGAATGGTTATAGTACAGGACTTTTAGCCCATTGTGTCCGTGCTGCCTCTCCAAAGAAACCATTCATCTTAAGTTACTCCGCTGCTGCCTTCCCTCAGTCTTGCTCGTTCTTCCTATTTGAATAATAAATCAATTCCCTCTTGAGAGCTTTGATTGAACCTGTCTCCCTCGCACTAAGGCAGTGCATTCCAAATCCTAAACACTCGCTGTGTAAATTTTTTTTTCCTTCCAAAGGCTATTGCTGTTTTTACCAGTTACCTGTGCTCTCTAGTTCCAATAGAAAGTTTCCCACATCTACTCTGTCCAGACCCCACATGTTTTTGGATCCTCTATCAAATCTCTTCTCAACCGTCCCCAAGGAAAACAGTTTCAACTTGTCTTCCTACATAACTAAGTTTTCTCACTCCAAAATATATTTATTTTGAATCTGATCCACATTCACTGATGTCTTTACATTCATTCTGAATTGTGATGCCCAGACCTGGACACTGACACTGACACCAACTCCAACTGAGGCTGAACCACGATTCTGTAATAGCTTAACAGAACTTCCTTGTTCTTGTACTCTATGCCCTAATATCGAAGCCTAGGATCCTGTATGCTTTATTAACTGCTCTTTTAATCTTCCTGCCACCTTCAGTGATTGATGTACGTATACTATCCGATCCCCCTGCTCTTGCACCTCCCTCAAATTTGTGCCCTTTGTTTTCTTTTGTCTCATCACATTCTTCCTACCAAGATGATTCATTTCTGTATATATTTCATTTGTCTTCCTATTTCATCAACTTGTCTCTGTTCTTTTGAAATCTACACTTCACCCTCTCCTCCTCCTCCTCGTTCACAGTACTTCCAAGTTTAGTATTGTCTGCAAATTTTCAAATTATGATTGGTATACCAAAGTTTAGGTCACTTTAATATGCATCAGGAACAGCAAAGAACCAAGCACCATCCCTGCCCCCCTCCCTGTAGAGCTCCATTATAACCCTTCCTCCAATCCAAAACACATCCATTAGCCACTACTCTTACTTCCTGTCACTTAATCAATTTTGTATCCATATAATTTCTATCCCTTTTATTCCATGAGCTTTAATTTTGCTCACAAGTCTGTTGTGCAGAAGTAAATGTATACCGTATCATAGTGTCCACCTCATCAACACTCTGTAATTACTTACTCCAATAAATTTGTTAAATGCAATTTGACCTTAACAGATCCATGCTGGTTTTCCTTAGTTAATGTATGTTTGCACAATTGACGAGGATGCATGCATGTAGTCTTTTTCCCAGGGATGGGGAATGGAAAACTAAAGGGCATAGGTTTAATCTGAGAGGGGAAGGATTTAAGAAGGACCTGAGGGGCAACTTCTTTGCGCAGAGAGGGTGCGTATATGGAATAGGCTGCCAGAGAAGGTGGCTGAGGCAGGTGCAATAGCAACATTTAAAAAAACATTTGGACAGGTACTTGGATGGGAAGGGTTTAAAGGGATATGGACCAAATGCGGGCATTTGGAACAAGTTCAGTGGGCACCATGGTCAGCATGGACCAGTTTGGGCTGAAGGGCCTATGTCCATGCTGTATTACACTGACTCTGACTATTAATTTCTTCCAAAATCATTGCTTCCAGAAGTTCTCCACCTCAGAGGTTGAGCTGACTGGCCTGCAGTTGCTGGGCTGCAAAAGCACAAAGACAAATGTGGTAGATCTTACCATGCATAAGTTCTTGTACAGCTGATTCTCTGGGAATTCCTCAGAATGTTGAAACTTCTGATTGGCAATTCTTCGTCATCTAGAATTCTCAGAAAAAGTCCCAAGTCTGAGGAGGATTCCCATTTATTACATTAATGATTAGCAGGAAAAGTTAGAATTAAAATCTGCTACAACTGTTGTTTAATATGAAACTACGAAGCCTCCCTATTCAGCACTGACCATTTCATCACCCCACCCTAACCTGTACTCCATAGGATCCATCTGACACTGGTCCCTCAAATCTTACCAGACATGGCTAAACCCCTTCCACCCCAATCCCAACAACCCCCATCCACTTTCACTGGATAGGTCTACTTCATCCCTCCAGACTCCCAAAACCCCACAGATCAAATCATCCTCTCAACATAAATGAATCTGACCCCAAACCCTTTTGGACATAACCCCAACCTCCACCACTGACTCCCTCCATTACCTGCTTTTCCCTCCTCCCCTTTCAGCTCCAGAAAACACATAAAACCCCATCCAAGCAGACTTGCCATCGCTGACCTACCACAAGCTCTCTTCTGCTTACCTGTCACTCCTCTCTTTCCTCCTCCTCCCCCCAACCCCCCACCACCCAGTGGGCATATGTTGCGTTTGCCTCCCTGGCATGCTACACCTTCACTCACCCTCCCTGGTATCTGTGCCTTCCTAACCGCCAAACAAAACTGTGTATTAATCTTGAGAGAGATGGACCAAAACAGAAACTGATGGGAAAACTCAGCAGATTGGGCAGCATGTGTGGAGAGAAAGCAGAGTTAAGGTTTCAGGTCCAGTGACCCTTCTTCAAATCACCTTATATCCTGAAAATTGGTGTGCACTTAAGTGGGGCTACTTTTTTCTATTTAATTTAACCCTTCTGTCTTTCACGTTACTTCCCAAAACTTAATGGTTTACCTACTATTAAGTTTAAAGCCCTAGTTATATGATTTGCCAGGACTCTGGTCCCAGCATTCAAGTGGAGCCTGTCCTAACTCAACAGCTCCTTCCATCCCCAGTGCTGATGCCAGTATCCCATGAATTTGAACCCTTCTCTCCCACACCAATCTTTGAGCCATCCCTTTTAATCTTTTTGACCTTGTGCCAATTTACTCATCTCACAGGTAGTAATTTGGAGATTATTACCCTTTTGGTTTTGCTTCTTAATGTGGCTCCTAGCTGCTCCTATTACTTCAGCAGAACCTTTCTAACTATATCATTTAGCCACATGGATTACACAATTGGATCTTTCCCCTTTCATTCCAAGTTACTCTGCAGCCTAGATGAGATATCCTAAACTGGCATTGCAGTTTCGGAACTCTCAATCCTGGCCATAGAGAACTGTCTATTCCTGTGACTATACTATCCCTGATTACAAATAAATTCCTCTTTCTTCTTCTCCCTCATCTTGAATGGTTCAGTCTGCTAATCCTCCCTAACAGCTCCCATTCTTCTCTTGGCGTTGATGAGCAAGAATCTCAAACCTGTTAGACAAACTCAAGGTTTGAGGCTCCTTCAGCACTACCTCCTGGATCACTCTACTTGATTCGCTCATAGTCACACCGTCCTATCCCTGACTGAATTAGATGTTGTTAATCTAAGGGATGTGACTGTCTCTTGAAGCACAGCATCCAGGTAAATCTTCTCCCTCCCTGATTTGTCGCAGTGTTCAAAGCTCAGATTCTAGCTATGAACTCCCAAGCTGAAGTTCCTCAAGAAACTAACACTTCTTTTCAATTTCAAAAATATCTTTTATTCATAAAAATATCTTTATATACAGATATAGTCACATTACGCAGTTTGGTTCTGTACAGTAGCATATGAAGAAACAAACACTGGAGTTTGACTCTTATCCAGCAAACAAACCAAAGGCAATTCTTACTTGCACGGGATTATATTTACATATATTTGAGGCATCGGGAGAAACCAATAACTATACAGAATCCCATTTAACTTCAGCAGAAAGACCATAGACAGTGATTTTTCCCCACTGTGCCTTGGCAGCAGCTGTCCCAGACTTTGGTGCATCCTTCAACACCTCCTACAGATATGGTTATTGTCAACCACAATGGGGTCCACCATCTCCCACATAATACAGGTCCAATACATCTCTATTTTATTTACTTAATTTTTCATTTTCTTTACAAACTAAAAGACCAGAAGGAAAGTTTTAATCAAACTATGACTCTATCTGTAAATATTTCTCCTATTTACCTTCAGTCTGAAATAACCTACAACAGATAGTTAATAGACACCATCCAAGACAGAGCAGCCTGCTTAATGGGCACTACAACAAGCATCCACTCCCTCCATCACCAATGCTCAGTAGCAACAGTATGCATGATGCACTGCAGAAATTTACTAAAGATCATCAGACAGCATCTTTCAAATCCACAACCACTTCCATTTAGAAGGACAAGGGCAGCAGATATATGGAAACACCACCACCTTCAATTTCCCCTCCAAACCACTCACCATCCTGACTTGGAAATATATCACTATTCCTCCACTGTCGCTGGGTCAAAATCCTGGAATTCACTCCCTGACAGCATTGTGGGTCAACCCACAACAGGTGGACTACAGTGGTTCAAGAAGGCAGCTCACCACCACCTTCTCAAGGGCAACTAGGTAAGGGCAATAAATGCTGGCCCAGCCAGTGATACCCACATCCCACAAATAAAAAACAAAAATTAGCAGCTATTACTAACCAATGAAGTTACAGATATCATGTGATGTTACTCCATTTTGTGCCGGGCCCATGGGCTTCAATTTATCCAGTTTTCAAAAAACCTTACAAACTATGAGCCAAAAAAAACCAAGCAAAATGCACCTTTTCCCCACGGTGCTTCCAAAGTCTCTAAACTATATGCCCACTGTCTCAGGGAAGGTGATGGTCCAGTGGTATCATCGCTGGACTTTTAATCCAGGAGATGTAGATAATGTTCGGGGGACCTGGATTCAAATCCTGGCAGGGTGGAATTTGAATTCAATAATAATCTGAAATTAAGAAAGTCTAATCATGGCCAAAAATCCAATGTCAATTGTCAGGAAAAAAATCCATTTTTTATTTCCTTAGGGTTTTCTTTCTCCACTTTGCTTTATTTTTCCGGCATGCAATCTTTATCCTATTGAATATTATGTAATTCATATCTGAAAGGTACTCTGAGCTTAGCC